GGCCTCCAGCGCCTTGAGGAGGCGGCGGGCGAGGCCGCGCTGCGCGCCCGCCGCGTACGCGCACTCGGCGCTCACGTACTCCAGCCCCGCGAAGCGCGCGTACAGCACGATCTCCTTCTGGTAGGCGTGACGCAGCGGCTTGCACCGCAGTCATGGACGGCTCGCTGCCCACCTCGCTCAAACACATCATCAGCAACGCCGAGTACTACGGGCCCTCGCTCTTCCTGCTGGGTACCGGCGGCGGCGGCGCCGCGGGGGGCGCGCGCGGCCGCGGGGCACCCATGGGTGCTGTGGGGCTCGTGGTGGGTCCTATGGGGCTCCTGGGGGGCTCCGTGGGGTTGCTGGAGGCATCTGGGGGGCTTCTGGAGGCATCTAGAGGGCTTCTGGTGGTCTCTGTAGGGCTCTTGGTGGTCTCCATGGGGCTCTTGGTGGTCACCATGGGGTTTCTGGTGGTCTCTGTGGAGCTCTTGGTGGTCTTCATGGAGCTCCTGGTGGTCTCCATGGGGTTGCTGGAGGCATCTGAGAGGCTCTTGGTGGTCTCCATGGCTTCTATGGGGTTCCTGGTGCCCTCTATGGGGCTCTTGGTAGTCTCCATGGGGTTTCTGGTGGTCTCTGTGGAGCTCCTGGTGGTCTCCATGGGGCTTGTGGTGGTCTCCGCAGCCTCTGTTGGGCTCTTGGTGGTCTCTGTGGAGCTCTTGGTGGCCTCCATGGCCTCTATGGAGCTGCTGGTGGCCTCTATGGGGCTCCTGGTGGGCTCCATGGGGTTGCTGGAGGCATCTGAGGGGCTCTTGGTGGTCTCCATGGGGCTCTTGGTGGTCACCATGGGGTTTCTGGTGGTCTCTGTGGAGCTCTTGGTGGTCTTCATGGCCTCTATGGAGCTCCTGGTGGTCTCCATGGAGCTCCTGGTGGTCTCCATGGGGTTGCTGGAGGCATCTGAGGGGCTCTTGGTGGTCTCCATAGGGCTCTTGGTGGTCTCCATGGGGTCTCTGGAGGCATCTGGGGGGCTCCTGGTGGCCTCCGTGGCTTCCATGGGGCTCTCGGGCGCCGCAGGGGCCCTGTTGGTGGCCTTGGTGTCCCCGCGGGTGTCCCCAGGGGTGTCCCCAGGGGTGTCCCCGCGGGTGTCCCCGTGGGTGGCCCTGGCGACGCCGTCGCCGTCGGCGGCCGCGCGCCGCAGCCGCGCCACGTCCCCGCGCAGGAAGTTCATGATGACGGTCTCGGCGATGTCATCGGCGTTGTGGCCTGGGGGGGGACAGCGCCGGTCCCCGAGTGTCCCCCCAATGTCCCCAAGGGTCCCCAACATCCCCCAATGTCC